CTTACCTTAATTTAAATCAGCTTTCTGCCGCCGCGCTGTTTTAAAGCGCCCTTCTGTCGCCGCGCTGTTGTCGCGGCGGTAATGAAACGTGGTGATGACGTCGCGGCTTTAGTGACGCGGTTTTATCACCGCTATTTTGACGAGCGCGGTTTTGTCGTGCCACGGTGTGCATGCACAGGGGAGCAGGGTGCAAGGGTGTTTGTCATGCGTGCATTGCATTTTGGGTGCTGACACTTGATGACAGAAAGGTTAGCTGTCACTGTCATAGTCTGTAATGTCTATGAACTATACTTTTAATATTAATACAAAGTACAATTCATATATAGTAGTAAAGTCTAAGGGTTTAAAAGTTCATTTGTAGTTAACAATCTGCATACTTTTGTTATTAATCTGTTGTTCTATTACTTAATTATTCCTGGACTGAGTGCAATTTAACATTTTAGAGAAGATCTGTGTTTGAAATAAACTTTTTCTGCACAGCAGAATAAACAAAGGTGAGATACAGATGATGGGCATTCAGTTCAGATTGCCTCATGAATATTCTGGACAAATCACAGGAAAAACTAATCTGAGAATCCTCTGTTCACAGTACTCATTGGCTAAGTTCAAACATAAGTGTGTGTGTGTAAACCAAAACATTTACATTTTGGTCTTGAGGAGGCATTCCCCAGCCAGAAATTGGGGTTATATAAAAATAATATTAGCAAAGTTTTTGAGCATAATCAAAACAATTTTCCTTCGTCTCCAAACATTCCAGTTTTAACCATTCGCGTGAATTGTGATTTTGGCTCTTCCATTTGTGCTCAGTAGAGGTTTGTGCAAATTCTCTCTCCGTAGGAAAGGAAGAAGAAATTTGAGAAGGATGGGGAGAAGTTTTACTCCATGCTGGACCGCCACCTGCATTTATCTTCCAAGAAAAAGGAGTCTCAACTTCAAGAGGTAAAGGAGAGGCTGATGTTTGGGTGATGGTCAGAGAACTCTGTTGGCTGTCTGTTGTTTATTTATGTCCGGCCATTTCTTCAGAATATCAAATATGTTGCTCTGCATTTTTCCCATGCTTCTTATTCCTTTTCTGCCTGCCAGAAAGTTTTTCCCCACCCCTGAGTTCTCCCATCAGTGGATCCAACCCACTGACTCCCCCCCGCCCCCCCAAGCAAATAGATTGGCACTAAGGTTACCAATCAATGGTTGACAGTTACCTCTCTGAACTGATTTAACAGGCCACAGTCGTACAGATGTTGCACTCATTACATCTGCTTAGTTTGGCACTTCTCTGGCAAACAAAAGCATTCTGGGCTTTATATTTTATCCCCAGTGGCGGGCCAAGAAGGAACAAGAGCCACCCCTGCAACAACTTTGTAAGTTAGGTTGGTCTGAGAAAGTGGTCCTTGGACCTAGGTGTTGTGGCTTGCCAGCGGCCAGCAGAGCTGGCAGCAGATTCGGACAGTGAGGAGGTTGGGGAGGAACATGGGCCAGTCCTGGAGTTTGGGGAAGGCTCGGACGAGGCCTCTGCATCGGAGGCAGAGAGGGGCCAAGGCCATCTAGTAGTTATATGCTGTC